TAATGTATTTGGTACAGCGTATTTGCAGTTTTTTTTAGACCGGTCACCTGAAAGTCATTTGGCTGTGCCTCAAACCACCTGTCAGCAGCATGTTTGATGTCAGAAATTTCCTCAAACCTCGCTCCATCAAATGTTTGTTCAAGGTCGGGAAGAGTTAATAGTTTGGCGGGGTCAGATCAGGTGTGCTGGGAGTTGGTCGACTTATTGTGAACCCAAAGCGTTCAATTCGACAGCCTCAACTCGTTTCTGTTTACGATCACTGGGCAAACATTTCGACACCCACATTGCCGCAAATAGTAGAGACAACAAACGATACGATCCCGTAAGATGTCCAATATCTGAGCAATATTTTTAGCGGATGTTCGCCGGTTCATGCACAGCCTCCCAGGTTGCTGTGTCTGTTGAAGTTAGGGGACGCCCACTGCGGGGCTCATCTTAAATGTTGGTGACCAGTCTTGAAATATTCAGGGTTTGACAATGCTGTAAGTGGTTTACTTCTCCCACAGTCATTATAGCATCTCATTGTGACTTTCTTTCGCAGGCTTTTTCTGGGGACACAAAACTTCTTGACGGCCCGTTACTCAAACCACGTGAAACCGTCTTCCGCATCTGCTATCACAGCTTCTACCCAAAAAACAACCAGTTGGTTAGTATCACAAACCTGATATTTGCACAGTTAGATACTAAGATATTAAGACCTCATATACCCCTACACTCTTTTTCCTATTTGTCTGGAAGGGCGCAAACTTATCAACACCCACTCGTATGTCAGCCAAATTGAAGGGCTACTGTATCTTTTCCATTTATATCGGTGTTACATTCCATACTTGTGAATGTCCTAGGAAGCGCATCTTTCCTTTGGGCTACTCCGCCTCAGCCTAACTTCACTGTGACAGATAGAACGGTGTGCATTATTTGCGTGTGACTTCCACCCCCATATTTTACGTTCATCGATTGTATGCTGGCCCTAGGGGTGAGTCCCTCAAGCGACCCTATATATCCCCTACTGCTTTGCAGGTCAAGCTATTGAGCCAAACGCTCCGGGTGGAGTCCCTCAAGTGAACCTCCATAACCCCCACTGCCTTGTGAGTCAGACTATTGAATCCAAAAGGCTAGAGGCAGAGCACCTCGAACAAAGCCCTCCCTCGGAATGGGCAGCCGACGAGTATCACCTGCTCTTTTGACCACATCGACAATACTCCCTCTTCTTCTTGTTTTTCTCTCCCCTCTCCCCTTCCCCCTTTATTGAGCAAGAAGCCTGCCGCTGACCTCGCAGCTGCTGCCATCGATACATGTAGCTCATCCATCAAACCCAGTGTCTCATATCACATTGGTTCTTTTAACATCCGCACTCTGGGTCAGAACGGCCAGCAGGCAGCACTAACTCTCACTGTTAATTCCCTTGGTATTGATGTGCACCTTGTCTCTGAACCACGCATACAAGGTAACGGCGTTGCGACGAATCCTCGACCTCTTGATTCTGACGACGGCGGCTACACTCTCTGCGTCTCTGGCGATACTGAGTCTATGGCTCAAGGTATTTATGGTGTTGGTATTGCGCTCAGCAAACATGCTGAAGGCAATCTGCTCTGCTGGATACCAGTAAACAGCCGCATGTGTGCGGTTCGACTTCGAAGCTCCATTGGGTTTAATAAGCAGCGTCTGAAGACAAGGTGCCTTTTCACCGCCTCAGTTTATGCCCCTACTTAATGCAGTTCCGAGAGTATCAAAGACGATTTCTGTCAACAGCTCTCATCTTTTCTTCGCGCAGCCAAGAATGCTTACATTGTGATTATTGCTGGTGACATGAATGCCTAAGTGTGCCGTCTTTCAGACTCTGAACAGCACCTGGGAAGCCACTTCGGAGTCGATGCACGCCGAACAGACAATGGTGCTTGATTCCTGCAACTGTTCGCCCATCACAACCTTTACGTTAGCAGCACTGCTTTCAAGCACAAACTTTCACACCGCCTAACCTGGCACCCACCGAATTCCTCAATGACCTGGACCAAAATTGACCACCTTGCCATCAACTACCGATGGCGCACATCTGTCCATGACTGTCGGTCAATTTGTAGCACGTGCGTAGATTCTGGCCATGCTCTAGTGTGCGCACGAGGCTGGCGCTCACTCTTCCCGCTTCAAAAAAGCTCTTATCTTTTAATCTTCGTACCCGTAACTTGAACTCGCACCCTACAGTTTAACAATATCATGACGAACTGGCCCACCAATTGTCAGTAACGAATGAGGTTATTGAGCCTAACACTAACTGCAATCGTCTTAAATGTGCCATCAAAAATGCCTTTGATGCATTCTGTGCACCCAACGAGGCATCACAACTGTGAATAGATCTCTGAGGCATCGATCAGCTTGATCGAAGCACGGAAACAGGTTCCGATAGACACAGTTTCAGCATATCCGTAACTCCCTGAAACGCCGTCTTAAAAGGGGTCTTCGAATTGACCGGGAATGTTGGTGGATGGCAAGGGCCCGTGAGATGGAGCAAGTCAGTGCTATTAGGAACAGCCGAGTGCTATTCCAGCTCATCCGAAACACGGGTCCGAGAAAGCCATCAGTTAGTGAGACAGTAGCTGAGAAAGATGGATAGTCGATCCATTCTCAGCCGCGTCGACTAGTCCGTCGGGCGCAACATTTTGAAGAGCACTTCAACAATCCTGCTGCGACACTGCCGTTTGCCGAATCACCTGAGCCGACTTGGGAAGTAGATATCACGCCTCTTACTTTGGAAGAGATTCGACATGAGCTTTCCGTGCTGAAACGAAACAAAGCTCTTTAATCTGACGACCTTCCTCCATCTTTGTTGAAAGATGCCGTGGACTCTTTCTTGACTGGGCTCACCTCTCTATTCACCACGATTTGGAGCATTGAAGTGGTGCCTTCCGACTAGCGACTGTCAACTGTCGTGCCCATCTTCAAGTAAAGTCAGTGTGCTTTGTGTGAGAATCATCTAGGCATTAGCCTTGTTTTGGTTGCATCCAAACTTCTCGCCGGTCTTATTCTCCGACGACTTACTGGTCTCCGTAAGAACCGAATCACTAAAACCAGGCTGGCCTCCGCCCTGGTCGTGGTTGTCTCGACCACATATTTACTTTTCGCCAAGTTTTAGAGTAGAGACACATACAGATTACCGGTAATGGTGGTTTTCCTTGACTTGAGAGCTGCCTTCGACTCTGTTAACCGCGCCAGCTTGTGGCACTGCTTATCCATGAAGGGTGTGCCGACTAAATTCCTTTCAATCATGCACTCTCTCTACCGTGACTCTCGAGGCCGTGTAAGGGTCTACGGGAAACTGTCTCCTGAGTTCCCCACCACAAGTGGGGTTCGCCACGGCTGTCCTATAACTCCTTACCTTTTCAAGTATGTGATGGGTGACTCCATTCTTTCAGACTCTGCTAGAGTGGAAGTTCTGCTAGGTGACCGGCTGACAAACCTGGAGTATGCGAACGACATAACTCTTCTTACATCTGATGCAATGGCCATGCAAACACTCCTGGATGGATTGACGCGTGCATGTGCTTTGCACCTTTAAAGTTCAAACTACTGTTGCAGGACTGGACCGACACTTCCGATTCTAGCTATCATCGAATAACCACTGGAAGTGGTGGATCGGTTCACTTACCTTGGTAGCTGTGTCACCTCTGGTGGTCATATCATTGCGGAAATTACTTCAAGTATCAGCAAGGTCCGTGTGGCTTTCCAAAGACAACCATATATAAAGACGGTGGGATATCTGCCTGTCAGTGAAAGGTAAGGTGTATAACTGCGATAAGGCCGGTCTTACTGTATGTATCAGAGACCTGGCCAGTTCGCGGCGAAGACATTAAACGCTTGGCCGTGTTTGACCACTTGTGTTTGCGGAGAATTACTCACGTCGGGTAGGAACGCCGCGTGAGCAATGCTGAGGTCTGCCAGTTGGTTTTTAGCAAGCGACCTTCTGATCCTTCTCTCGGGTGTTTGCTGAATCTTTATCACTTACGTTGGCTAGGTCATGTCCTCCGTATGCCCGTTGGTCTGCTTCCACGGCGGGCATTATACACTGTGGCTGCACCAAGTTGGGTGAAACCGCGAGGTGGCCAGTCCATGACGTGGCATAGTGGTATGAAGAAATTAACTGCGAGACTTGGTCAGGCGGGTGCGCGCCGTGTTCGGGGAAAGGGGCCTCTGGATGGTCCACACCAATGTTTACAGACCGTAACTGACATTGCGCAGTCACGCAGTCAATGGTGTTCTTGCACCTGGTCGTTAATTTTCGTTCCATTCTGATTAGTATAACGCACTTCCCTCTTGCTTCCATTTTTTTACATTCTATTTGCCCTCAATCCCACTATCTTGCCGGTGTTAGTTATTGTTATTCATGCGATGTGAATCGTGGCAACTGGATCCACCTCACCTCGGTGCTCGGATCTTAGTTGATCATCTAAACTGTACTGAACTGATGTTGTCCGTTGCGATCCGATTGTTTCCTTCTCCGCTTCCCTCCACCACGGCTTTCGTTGTTGGCGCTCTAAGTTCGGCACAAAACCCCTTTTGGAAATCGGACATCTGTTCACCCTCTACGAAACTGCAGTGATCCTCCACACCATGTATTGTTGCATAAAGGTGCATATATGAAGGAACCCCGGGATGCAGTAGTTCTGGTTCTTGGTTTGCGACCTCTGCGTCCGGAGTCACCTTTTCTGCATAAGTTTGGGTGTCGTTGCGGTATCCCAGCCCGCGTTAAGCTGCAGGTTTGTAAGACCTCTCAGGATCCGGGAATTTGATCACATCTGTGGGACCTTTGTTTGAGCGATCTACTCCCGCAGCTCTTGGTTGATTTGCACCCAGTGACATTTACGTGGGTGATCCGTCAACAAATCGTAGCGTTCATTCCAGCCTGAAAGTCATGCACTCTTGGTAAAGACAAATAGTTTCCTTTGGGAAGACACCACACTTCTAGTCATTATTTGAAGTGCCTGTGACGATTGCCCTTATTGTTTCAGCCTCTTCGGGTCATCCGTTACATGACAGCGCTCCTGGTTCTCCTACGCATGTGAATGTTCCCCAGTTACATACTCCCACGGCGGACACTTCCACTGAGACTCATCTTCCTCCACATCAGCACGTCCTTCCTGAATCCCCCGTAGTTGATAACCATCGTGATCTCTCGGTTGGGCCGTCAACTCAGTCGACGGATGCCGAACTCACGACGCCTACCTCCGTCCAATCAGAGTTGGCTAGAACGCTGCTTTTCTATGATCTGTAAGTCTTGTTCTTCTCATTTCTCAAAACTTAGTTTACTTTCATCCGGTCCCTTTATTCGCCTTTATGTTTGTTGCCTTTGGCTTTGTTCTGTAAACGTGTACAGCCTCGTTCAACCTCTGGTGAGTTACTTTAGACCTTAACAATGCGACTTTCGTCGTCGTCTTTGTCACTTCCTCGCAATGTTCTAACGTTTCAGACGGTTGGGCCACTTCCAATCAAATAGTAACTTTAGCTTTCGTTGTCAAAAAGCGCAATTCATTTCGGTTAACCACATCTGCTTTGGCTACCGAATCACAGTGGATCTAGTCGTCTTGCATTCATCTCCACAGTAATAAAACTAAAAAAGGATTTGAAAGTGATTTTCGCCCGTAACACAGCACTCTGCAACGCCTTTCGTGTTTATTTGCACTCATCAATTGGAAATAGCGGGACTGTGACTCGAACCCATGATCTTTGGGGATGCTGGTTGAAACCTCGAAGTCACCGAGTCACGGCGAGCGATGCCTGTCACAACGATTACTTACTTAGTGGGGGGTCCCTAAGAGGCACTTGTGGGAATGGATTACGGCGCGCTCAATGTAAACCGTGATTCGCACTGAAGTGAATCTTGATTAATTTGATCACTGGGCCCGTAACTAATGAAACAGATGCATATTTAGTGTTGCCCGCCCGAAAACATTGCACCCACGTTGAACAACTATGATCCGCGCACCAAAGTGCGGTAGATCCAGTTGCCACGGCTCACATCGCAAGAATAACGATAAATAACAATGGCAAGTTAGTGGGGTTTAATGCAAGAAAAATGAAACGGGAATTAACATCCAGATGCGAGAAACTGAATGCAGGATCGCCACTGACTGCACCATGTCTGATACGGACTCCAACCATTGGTGTGAACTATCCAGGAAGACGACACACACCATCCTGACCAAACCTCTTAGTCAACTTCTTCAAACCTCTAGGCCACCTCGCGGTTTCGCCCAACTTGGTGCGTCCACGTCGCATGATGCATGCCGAGGAAGGCGGGCAATGGGCATACGGAGAAACTGGCCTGGCCAACGTAGGCGAGAGTTGCACTTCACGACCGGGTTCGAACTTGTTTGCTCTCATCAAGTGGCGATAGTAGGTGTCGAACCTGGGACCATAGAGATGTCAGTCGAAACCTTAGCTCTTAAGCCACGGAGTCGCGGCGGGCAACGCTTGTCGCAACCGTGACAGTATTAGTTGAGTAGGCACTCATCTCCAACACGCCCTAACCAACCATAGTATGTTTGAGTCAATGTCAAGCGTGAAGCACATACACAATACACAAAATTTGTCTAGTTACGGGGTCCACGCAACGTGTGGTATCAGCGTGGTTAGTTTATGACACTGAAAGCACCATTTAGTGGCCGTAGTTACACAAACCCATTCGACTTACCCGCCACCGTTTTACCACCTTGTTGACTCCCCTGTCCTCTTCTACCCGGGGCATACGCAGCTGCTTTTTCTTTGGCACCATGCGGAGGATGATGACGACTATACCCTTTCTCAGTTGACTGCATCCTTAATGCACTCGTTTTTTCTCCGCAGTGCATCCGCTCGCATCCTTTAGCGCAAGAACCGCAATCCGTTAGTCACGAAAATCGAATCCATGACTTCAGCTATCCGCTCGTCTAGGTGCGCACCAGCGTTGACAATAATGGGGTGGAATCAGAGGCAAGGGCTTGCTCACGAACTGGCTCCAAACCCAAAAGCCAGAAATGTGAAGGTAGGGCGAAGTCGGTCCAGTTCCGGACGAATGCAGAAGTGGCGGTGAACATGTCCGCGGTCACGCACCCTGGCTTGATCGAACCCGTTGTGAATGAAGTCAAACATTGTTCACTCTGGTCATCCGTGCCTCACCTATTCCGTCGTCTCAAACGGACATCACGTTTGCTCGCTGAAGCCCTATTTGTGAGACCGTTTTGACTCCATTCACAACGGACTCGATCAAGCCAGGAGTGATCCCGTGTTACGGGCATGTTCACTGCCACGTCTGCGTTCGTCCGGAACTGTGCTGACTTCGCCTCCCCTTCACATCCCGGGGTTTGGGGTTTTGAGCCAGTTCGTGAGCAAGCCCCTCATTCCACTCCCTTATTGTCCAATGCTGGTGCGCACCTAAACGAGCGGATGGCTGAGATCCGTGTAGCAATGCATCAACCGATGGCTCTGTGCCCCAGTTGCGTCTAGGTTACTCAGCCATGCCGGCATATTGACCGGACGCTATTGGCTGATAGCGGTTGACCACTCGGCGTCGTGGATGCAATTTTCGTGACTATCGGATTACCGTTTTTGCGTTAAGGACGCAAGCTGATGCACTACGGATGAAAGTGGTTGCGTTAAGGATGCAATCAATTGCGCAATGGTATAGTTTGCATCCATCTTTGTCTTCCGCTCGTGTATCTGCCCTTTTTGTTCTCCATGCACTAGCTCTTTTTCGTTCACTTACCAGTCAGTGGCCGTAAGGAACCCAAGGTCACCCTTCCCAATCCGCATAGGTGCAGATGACATCGCAGTAGACCCAGCCGTCGCGCGACTTTTGATTGTCGCATAGCAGTAAAGCGTCTGTACATTGTGTCGACGTACTACTGATATCTGTAATAGCATTCTTGACGTTCTCACATCATTGTTGACGATCCACTGCTGTTTTTTCACCACACTCCTGATTGCGACTACCTGCGGTAAAGTCTGGTGACTTCAGCTTATTGATCACTCTTGGTCTGGTCTTTGGTGGGCGATATTAACCAACTGCGTCAAGTTGATTCAAACCGTCAGAGACAACCCCCGGTGTTTCTTCTACACTTCAATCAACTAGAGCTTATGACCTTGGTTTTAATGGAGAGGGCCCAGCCTGATCTCCCATTTGGCCCATGAGAGGCATGCGTTGCTGCTATCATCATTCAACGCGTCAAGAAAAGGTGCGAAACCTTGCTTCTTGCCGCAGTGCAACTCAATTTATGTGATCGTAAAAAGCCTTTTTTATTCATCACCAATGAGGTTGTGGTTGGAAGGAGAGGCTAGGCACGAGTTAGCGGCAACGAAACTCGCAGCACAAGCGCCAGTAGGTCTACTATTTGCTCTGTCGACAAGCATCTATAACCAAAAGGAGGGGATATCTAACGTGGGTTTGTCTGACCTCGGATTCTCTGACTGATTGAAGGCGACTACTCTACCTGACACAGGAAATCGGTCGACTATATCTATCTGCATCCTCGTTAATCGTCCTAGACTGCAGCTTCTCAACTGCACGCTGAGTGAGTTTGACATCAACGCTTGGTTGCTTGGATAGAGTTAACTTCGATCGATTATTTTCATCAGACGTTATCTATTCGATGAGCTACGTATAAAGCGCTAAGCCGCCTCACGTGATCCAAGCGAAACAACCAATAACAGTGTTTCAGCGAACCTTTTTGGGGAGCCCGGATCTTTGCAGCGAGTTTATTGGAGACTAGAAACTTGTGGCATCCCTGTTCACAACTTTGCTACTTTCAGCAAAATGTTATATTTTCCAAGTTACACTATCGGTCTCCAACGGTCTGTAACCGAGAGTACTCCGACCACTTTCCACCGATTACGCACATACCATCTGTTGGCGGTCAAGTCAATGCATGCAGTATGTACACCCGCATGTGTGCATTTACAGCATCTTGCACTATCGACTGCTGACGAACTAGTGGAACTCGGAAGCATGCAAGCACGTGGACCACATAACCGAATCAACAAAAGCATTTCAGTATCAACAGACCCTCCAGCCTGTTTCCAGAAACCAGGCAACAAACTTCGTCATTTGTTACTCATTCCTACCGCAGTGAACCAAACTACCGCGCCCAAGAAAGCCAGTCGATAACGGGCCAGCAGCGGACAATACCAACGTGCGAACAGAAGAAGAACGCTTGGCAACCACATTTGTGTGTGCGTTAGACATAAACACAGAAGCAGTGCGTTCCACGTTATATACAAATGAAAATTCGGAGATGAGCGGAATGTGTGGTGGTCAGAGTTGATGCATATGGTTGATGTTGGTCATTAGCTATGAGCAGCACTTCTCAGGCGTGTGGTCAACCACGGTATTCAGGGTGCGGCTGCCATGTCTGATGTGCTGCTGTTGTTTATGATGATATATCCCTTCACCGGTTTTGTGGCTGCCTACAAACTCCGGCCTGAAGCAATCCTACAACTCAGATTTCCGTTTTGGCCGACAACCTTCAATGTTCAGATTCTCATTCAGATTGGATAACGGGTTGGTCTAGCACACTCTGGACTCATTCGCTACTGATATATGCTGTCTTCCCGCAACTAACTGGCAATACCCGTGCACTGTGCTCGAATGGACTTCGCCGACAAATGTACCTAAACATCCAAGTAAAATGTTAAAACCCATTCGTAACCTCCATCGTGTGGACTGGAACGCATTTAATGAACTTATCAGTACCATGAATTGGAATACATCATTCCTAACCCACAACCCTACTGTGGCTACAAATGAGTTTATAAACAGCATTGCCCTTGTTGTGGATCTACTAGCACCTACTGTAAGGAGAAATACCCATGAACATAGGGGTGAACTCAAGCTTCTGTCCAAAGCCAAAATAAAACTAAAGAAACTCAAATCGCTATACAGCAGGAACAACAGCTTCGCAACATTGCTACAAATACACGAGAACTTACTATATTTACAACGACTAACCCTAACGGTCAACACCAAAGAAGAAAACCGGGCACTCAGAAATCTTGAGAAAGTACGTGCATTGATGCAACTGCTCAAAAGAAGAAACCCTAAACCACTACAGGAAATTGACACGTTGGCTCTAGACGATGGTTCAATAACGCGCGACGTCTCCTGCATATGCGAGGCCATGAACTCTAGTTTTGCCTCCTCCTTTGTCCCCAACATTCAGCCACTTCATCCTCCACTTCCAAAAAGAACGACTGAACTATACTGCAATATCCCTGTGACGTTAAGGGAGGTGCAAAGT